GGAGAAGAGACTGCTATACACAGGGAGGATGAGGGGGTGGGGGGCAGTCAGGCTGAGCAGCAGCAAACAGAACTGGACAAGGATAAAGTCAGAGAGATGAATTGGCCTCTGCTGGAAAACAGGATGTGAGGATGTCTGCAAACACCTAGGCAAACTGCAGTGGTGAGAAGGAATGTGAGAGAGACTGCCCATTTAAACCCGTTAATACTGTGAAATGGCCTAGGGCTGGACCAACTCACAGAGGTCGTGTTCTTTCCAAGGAAACTCACTCACCGTTTCACCAAAATGCGAATGGGATCTGTCATGAATTTGTTGGTCATCTCCAGAATTTCATGAGGCAAAGTGGCGCTGATCAGAACCACCTGTGTAGCTGGGGGCAAGTACCTGTACACATCGTAAATCTGCTCCTTAAAACCTGAAAAGCAAATCGAGTAGCACAGGACAGTTTGCACATCTTTCTCCCAAATATCCCGCTCCTTCTGAATTTGACCTGGAATTCAGTATTGAGCCTATGCTAGGACATGAGTGTTAAGGGGTGACCAGTAACTCAAAACCAGTGTCCCATACTGCTCATCTCTCTCTCATTTTCCCAAACCTGTTACAATGTGGCTGTGGCAGACAGCAAAGCATGAAAGGCAGTGCTCAAGAATTTGTAACTATCGAAAAGGATACTGTAACTAAAACAGACAAGGGATATTAAGTAGTTAAACCTATCACAGCCTGTAATTCACTTCACTTTGGCAAAACCAACTTATTTTAGAAGCGGGACTGCCGGCTCGGACACCCTGGAATCTCAAAGAGGTAAGAAGGAAGGAAGTAAAAGGGAGATGTATATTTTACCTTTATTGAGCATTTCATCTGCTTCATCCAAAACCAGCATTTTGATGGCACGAGTCCTTAAGCTTCGCCGACGAATCATATCTGTAAGATTTCCCTTTGTAAGAGGAAAAGGCTCTCAGAGCAAGCGACCCTACACTGCTGCCAGGCCCTGTCAGGGCATTTAAGTGGAGGAGGGACTGGCACTTTCCCTTTTGCCAACAGAGACTGGGGGCTGGGGATGGAAAGCACATCCAAGGGCCGGAGAGCACGCCCACAGCACCCTGCAACACAGGGGGGCTTGGCTCTGCAGCCTGGCTGAGGGAGCACGGACTGCAGGGAAGCTCTCCGAGTCCCAGCTGCAGGGCGCTGCTTGCTAACTGCCCAGGACAGGTGACCCAGCCTCCCACTGCAGCTGCAGGTGACAAACGCGAAAAAACACTGCGTGAACTTTTCATCAACAGACTTGGGCGAATCCACATCCTGTCTGAAAGAGCACGTGGCTTTGTGGAATCCCTTAAGAATGCGATAGAAAAGGATTTGCTATTAGTATGCTGTTCAAAGCCAGCCCAGTTCAGCAGCTGCTAATTTTGTCTTTTTTTTTTTTTAATGCTTGTGGAGACTAGCTCCATGTTCTCCCAGTGGCAGCTGCTTGTGCAAGCAAGTGCTGCCTGCTTCTCCGAGATCCAGAAGATGTGAGCTTGAAGGCCAACGCTACCACTGTGGTAACTGCCATGACTAGTAAATATAAAAATCTAAAATCTTCATGCAATGAAACCAATTAAGTACCAGCTGCAAGTGCACCTGATTTAACAGAGAGAGAGTGATGGCCAGTACACAGAAAATGTGGACCTAACTTCGACATTCAAGTAGACCCAGCTCCTATCTCCTCCAAGATTCTGACATATTTCCTGGGATTGTAGTATTTTCTCCTTAAAAAAAATGTTCTTTGTTCCCATGACACCATATAAAGAAACACTTCAACTACGAAAAGCAAAATATAAACAGAGAAAATCCAAATACTATCCCCACTGATTTCTCTCTAGTCTTTTCCCCATATTACTACAGTAAGTTGTTACCAAGTTATACCTCACATTAATGGCGTCACAATAAATGTAATTTTCATGCTATTCCAAATCTAAGCACACAGAAATTGCAGAAAGGTTCCCACGGCTCAACTCAGGTCTGAAGCTGGAGGTGATGTAGCCTCCCACATCTCCTTACCAAACACACGGCCTGGAGTGCCAGCAACAACATGCTGCCCATAATCCAGTTTTCGGATATCTTCACCCACGTTGGTCCCTCCGATGCAGGCGTGACACTGGACATTCATGTAGTCTCCCAGAGCAAGAAGACCCTGTGTTGATAGAAAGGAATGGCTTAATTAACGGAGCTCACGTGAAGTTTGTATTTGTGAAGAGATGCAGGTCTGCACAGCCATACAGTGTTTTATTTAAGTAGATGTAAGCACAAGGAGTTAGAGGGGGTTTTTAATGTCTGTTACCCAAATCTCAACAGCAGGCTTTCAAACACTGGGAACTGACTTCCCCAGGGATCACAACTGCTTTAAAAGTGCTGCCCTTAAATATTCAGTTAGGAATACGTAAAATCTTAGACTGCTAAACAATTTGGTCATGTAAACAAGAATGGATATAATGCAGATGAGCAAAACAGCCCTTTGTCGGAATTTCTTACTCCTTTCAGGAACAGAAAGAGTGAGCAGACACTGTGCTTTGAGCTCTGCTGAGGAACACCCGAGAACTGGCCCCAGGCCTTGTAAGTGCTTTACAGACCACGATTTAAACGCTCCTACCTTCTGAATCTGTACAGCCAGCTCCCGAGTTGGTGCCAAGATCAGTGCCTGGGTTTCACGAACCTGATTAAAACAGGTGGTTACACAGCAGTTAATCACAGGGCAGATACCCAAGCGTAACAGAGATGATGGATCCCACAGTACTTTGAAATGTCACAGCCGAAGGATTAATCATATAATTTTGTGCTAAAATCTAGTGTTTGCAAGGGTCAGTACACCTAGAAAGCATTTACACAGTAACAGCTTCTTAAGTTACTTTTGACAAGATGACACTAAAGCAGTTCTTTGGTAGCTCATTTTTCATTCCAACCTGATTTCTGAAAACAGTTATAAAAGTGCATACTTTTCTTGCAAAGCAACAGAAACAAACTTAAATCACTTCAATTTCCGATTGTTGAGTTCAGATAAAAGCCTTCCATTGCACAAAGATTCCAAGATAATGTTTTAAAGTGTCACGTTTGAAAAATAACTGAGCCCTTTATGGAAATGGAGCAAAATGCTGACCTTTTCATTTAGAACACGCAACATTTATTTTTACACCCCCAGGCATAACAACACAAAAGATAAATAACAATCTAAGCTTTATTTAAGAGGGTATTGGCCCACAGGAAATAGTCATTTTATTCAACAGCATATACGCACTCAAGTTATTCTTAAAAAACAACTGGATGGACACGATACCCCTGACTAGAACAAAAGCAAACATTTGCCAGTCAAAAATCTCGGTCTGATTCTGTGCAACGTGCGCCAACTGTTCAGAGAGGTTGGTGATGCTGTTAGGACTGTTTGAGAACAATTCTGCCTGCTGAGAGATTCATTTAGCCCTCTCATACGTGAAAGAGGTCAGCTGTTAAAGCCAACTTTATAAATTACAAGACTTTATCTGAACTTATTTTGCTGGGGTGGGCCTAACAGTTAAATTGTTACAGAGTAGGGTCTGGTGGAATTTTCAGTCAGAAATTTGTCTGAGGTTCACTGCCCATAATTAAAAGACTTCAATGTACAGCTTCATTTATTCACTGTAAAAAAGAAGGCTTTTACAATGAAGACTCTACCAACTTAGTTAAAAACAGTTTTTAGCACGTGCTATGAAATTACCTGTATATCCAGACACTGCAGTACAGAGATGGAGAACGTTGCTGTCTTCCCTGTTCCCGACTGTGACCTGAGAAACAGATGTTTGGTGAATATTCTCGATGACTGGACAAACAATATAAGCAATTTCAATATATTCCACTCCTCTGCTCTTTGCCACTCCTTCATCACAAAGAAATCCAACGTTGCCAACAGTGTATCGGACAAAAGTTTTGTTACGACCACAGCAGCGTGAACTGCAGACGAGCAGCTCTGAGAACTGCATTATCAGGGACAGAGCACTCCCTTGCAAGGTTCCCAGTTCTGGCATGTTTACTCCTAATCAGACCAGCATTTTAATTTCCTGCAATTTGTCTGACGTATTTTTTTTTTTTTCTTTTAAAGTAGACGGTAGATAAGCCAATACAATTTGGAAGGCTAGCAATTCCCACTAGTAAGCTAGGAAGGATTTTTTTTTTTCAGTGGGATGCATATCCTTCTTTGTCTCTAGAGACATAACAGACTTTCTTCTGCTTGCTTTTCCCCTTGATTGAGACTGCAGTTGTCTCTATACTTCTCTGGCTTTGCTGGAGAACATTCCCCAGACTCTCAGAGCCCCGTTCGCTGAGAACACACAACATCTTGTCTGAATCTTTTACCACCGTGGCACACCGAAAACCTAACCAACTTTGACCACTCGCAACCGTTACGGGCAAGCCAGCCAACTCCACCCCGCGTCGCCCGTGACGTGGTTTCCCCAACCCTGCCACGCAGGGCCCGCGGGTGACCGATCTCGCTTCCAGCCACCCCCCCATCCCACTCCAGCCTCACTTACTGGGCGATCACGTCTCTCCCTTTGATGATCTGCTTGATGGCTCGCTGCTGGATGGCCGACGGCTTCTCAAAACCTGCGGAGAGCGGCCGTTCCCCTCAGCGGCCGCGGGGGCAGCCCCGGAAGGCCGCAGCCGCCCCACAGCCGGGCCCAACCGCCCCCCCCCCCCCGTTCCCCCCGCACCGTAGGCGTAGATGCCGCGCAGCAGGTCCTCCCGCAGCCCCATGGTGTCGAAGGTGGGCGTCACGTCCACCTCCTCGCTCGTCTCGAACTCCACCTTCGTCATGTCTTCCTCCTTCATCAGCCGCTTCCGAGCCGAGCCGCCCGTCCCGCCGGATCCCGCCGACCCCGACATGGCCGACGCTTCTCCTTCCACACGCGCCGAGAAACAGCTCCCCCCCCCCCCGCTTCCGCCGCACCCCCCCATCCGCGCATGCGCAGGCGGCAGGAGCGGCTGCGCCGGAGGCCGCGTGCGCATGCGCGGTGAGTGAGGGCTGGGAAAGATGCGGGTGAGGTTTGGAGATATAGATATATATTTTTATTTATTTTTTTTTTTTTTTTTCCCCCTACACTCCACCGCCTTCTCCGGCACCCACGCCGCCCCCTCCAACCCCGCAGTGCCGTCCCAGATAGTTGCGTGTCTGCGGCGTGGCCTGCTCGCCTACCTGGGAGGCCGCAGGTCCTTCCTTCCAACGCCGGGAAAAGGGAGATGAGGGAGGTTGGGGGTAGGGGATGTTAAGCATCTTGCTTAACATCTTGCTTACAGGCGAGGTGGGGTGGGCCCTGGTCTCTGGTTGCGTGGTGGGGCGTCCCCCTTGTAAATCTATAAGTGCTGGTACGTGCGGCCCGTCTTGCCCATGTAAAAGCCGAATGTCCAGACCCAGGGATGCTCCAGGCGATTTGAAGGGGGAGGAAGGGCTGGCTCAGCCCCGTATCACCTCTTCTGCAAACCCAGGTGTGTCCAGTAAGGGTTGGTTTGCAAACCTGAGCTCAGACAAGGCAGTGAAATGAGATTTAGAGACCAGAGAAGGACCGATGCTCTGCTCTGCCTTTCTTCAGTCCATGCCCTCTCTGTTTCTCTGTCCGTGTCATGCAACCAGCTGGGATCCAGTTTTCACAGGGCTGGGTCCCGGGGTTTGCTTTTGGGGCAGAGGGTTTGGATATGAGCATGCTGCACCCGCTTAGCCTCCATCCCCATCTGGGATTTCAGTGGGATTTGCGTCTTCCATCTTTTCCCCTTTTTTTTCTCCAGTGATTTTTTAATTCTTGAGCAGACGGGTTTAGAATCAGGCAGATTTAACCCTCCTCTTCCTGCCATGGGTACCCAGGTATTTGGCTGATCTCAGAACAAACCCTTAAACTTTTGTGGGAAAAGGCTCTCTCCTGCTTGGCAGGGCATTCTTCTGAGTCCTGAGCCAAAACGTTTGACATGGTAAAATGAAGTTGTTAAAAAATCCACAAACACTTCCAGTCCCAGTGTGTCTCAGGGTGCCTGTTTGAGCGCTGCACATGGGTTGTTCCCGTTCTGGTTAGGAGCAGATATATCAAGAGCTGCAAGTTTGAGTGGAGCCAGCAGGTTTGGGGTGTGTGACCCCTGCCCTGGGGCAGGCTCTGGCTGATGCTCTTTCCTCATTTTTCTTGCTACAGAGCCCAAAGGCAAACAAAGAGGCTGAAAACTGATAAAGCTTTTGTGAACGGGATGCTGGAGGCACAAGGTATGATGGTCTCCCTCCTCCCTTTGTGCAATATATTGGCAAACCATCGGGAAAGGACATAGTACAGATCCTCTGGGATTTGTGGGGGAAAGTAGGAGGGTGGCGTAGCGCTAACGTGCCTGAATTAACTTTGTGGCAGAGGAGTCTTGCTGCTCAGTCCCCATCATTCTTGTTGTGTCAGTGATATTGTCTGTGCTCTTCCATTGTCCTTACAGGGGGCTTTGTCCTCACAGTATTGTTTCACAAATAGTTGTGGGGAGGCTGTTTTTTAGGATGGGTGGGCTGTGCTGTGATTTCATCTGGAAGCCTGACCTAGCCTGCAGTTCCTGGCGGGTACCCAGCCCTTTCTTGGACATGGCTGAGGCTCAAGTCCGGGCCCTCCTGGAAGAGGTAGGCACAGGAGGTGAGGCTTTCCTTAGCCAGAATTTGGCTGAAGGAGCTGAGGAAGTAGGTGAACAGGGAAAGGCTGGGAGCTGGCTTGTTGAGAGAAGGATGGGCAGCGAGTTCTGGGCAGTGAATCCGTAGAGCCAGAGGAAGTGACTGTCAAAAATAAACTTTGCCCCCCCTTAGGCAGCAGGCAATGGTCCAGAGCTGGTGTACCACAGCACGGCTGCATTTCTTTGGTAGCACAGATGGCTTCCCTTGGGGTGGAGCTGGTCTTTAGTGTCTGACCACAGCAGGGTTAGGGTGTAAGGGATCTCTGGAGACATCTGGGCTAATCCTCCTCACAGCAGGACTGACTTTCAAGCTAGGCCAAGTTGCTCCAGGCTTGTCCAGTCTAGGTTTGAGTATCTCCCAGGATGGAGACCCCACAGCTTCTCTGGGCCTGTCCCAGGGCTACACTGCACTCAGGAGGAAGAATTTTTTCCTTATGGCCAATCAAGGATCCCCTTGTTGCAGCTTGTTCCTGTTGTATTTTGTCCTTTTGCTCTGCAAATGGCCTGCCATTTCCAAAATGAAATTAGAGAGTGACTGTTATCCCTTCGGGGTCCCAGAGTAGGCATGGGGCCTTAATCCTCCTTCACTCCCCAAACTGAAACAGGATTCAAGTGTTTTTTATGCCTGTCTGCATCCACTACTGGGGCTCACATTCTAGACTTTGTGGAGAGGAGTTTATTTCTTTGTGTGTGCATGGAAATAAAGCAGTGTTAATTTTGCAAAAGAGTTTTTAAATTGTGTTTCATTTGCACTGTGAAAAAGATGGCATTTGTTTTAAGAAACTGTTTGGACGCTTCAAGCTGTGTTCTTGCAGCTGGTGAGTTTCTCTTGGACTGATTTTTTAGAAACTTAAAGGTTTATTTATTGAACTGGAAAAGAATGGAGAAGGAAGGGTGAGCTTTGAGGAGTTGCAGTTTGGCTTGTTGAGCCACATGACCATCTTTTTCCAAGGTATGTCAACATCTCTCAAGCAACCAAGACTCAGCACATTATAGGGTGAATGGAAAGGCAGAAAGCTTTCTTTGTAAAAAGCATCCTGGTTGATGGCCTTGATCTGCAGCTCCACGATGTGTTTTCCATTAACTTTGGATAAGGATCCGTAAGTCATTGCCAGTTCCCTACACAGGACAGTTCATTTGTGTTTGATGTTTCTACAACCTCCTGCAGGGAGTCCAGACACAAATGCAGCCATCAGACTTAGAAAGGTTTCTCCATCCATTTTCCCACAAAAAAGGAGGCTAAAGAATGGGTGCTGTTGAGAACAGTTCAAGCCAAGAGTTTTCATTTCACAAGGGGGTGATTTAATAGACATTAGTTGGGCATCTGAGGGTGGTGACCTGGGGAGAGTTTTCCACCTGCCAGTCAGTTTTTGAGTATGGTCTGGGCTTCAGCCACTGCATGGTGACGGGGAGGTTCCCTTAGTAGCTGCCTGAGTAAGAGCAAACCCTGTGCAGGTGGAGTGGGATGGTAGTACAGAACAACAGAGGGCTGTTAAACCTCATCTTTTTACTGAAGGGAGAGGAACGAATGTCCTAGCAGAGGGGACAGATCACCCCAATTCTGACATTGGCTTCAGAAGTGCTGACATCTGTGCACCTCTTGTGACTCAGGTTCATCCACATTTTCTCTGTTTGATGTAAAATACTTCTTTCTCTCTAGCGCTTTTATTTCCAAGGACAGGCAAGGCATCTGCAAATGCTTTTGAAGTAGCTGTTCTTTAACGCACTAAGGTGTGAGTGAGTTGCTGATTACCCTGACAGCCAGGACAGCTCCGTCCAGGATCCTGAGCAAAACAGCTCCAAAAAAAAAAAAAAAGAGAAAAGAATAAAATATTTTTTTCAGGTTCTTTTGGCTTAAGACTTTGAGGTAGCAGCTCTCTGAAGACAGGCTTCTTCCAAGCCTGCTAGGAAATTGGTGCTCTTGGACTCATTGCCAGTTTTGAATCAGCTTTCTGGGTTCTGCTGTTTGGTTCAGCTTGGCTGAATCTCATTTACCTTTGAAGCTAACCTCAACCCAATTTTAACTTCTAGATCAAACAAAATGTTTACTGGCGGTCCCCATCTGGCAGTTTTCACAAGACCCTCTGATGCTGTATAACTTTCCACGTTGGTCTTTCTGTGGATACTGAGTTTTCACGGGTTAGCAAGGAGACCAGAGTGCCTGGTGTGTGCCTGCCAACCGGCTCCACGTGGCTGCCTTAAAGGCAGCTCAGGACATCTCCCTCTTGGCAGTTTGGGGTTGTTGTTAGAACGTTCTCCAATATTGATGGGGTCACTGGAGTTTCCTTTCAGTATTGGAAAGCTATCAGTTTTTCTCTGCCAGTTTTTCCCCATTGACTTACCTCTGCTGCTTTTTTCCCTCAGCATCAGAGGATAGTGCGCAGGAAAGCAGTCTGTCCTTCTGGCGAAGCTGTGTGGGCCCACATCACTTCTCCAGCATCAGCAACGGCACTAGATTTGTCGAGCCTGGACTTGCCATTGCTGCCTGAGCCCTGGAAGAACTTAGAGGAGATCCTCAAGGTCTGTGGTGCTGCCTTGACCAGTGGTGGCAGGTGAAGTGAGCAGCAAGGCCTTTCAGCAAGCAGCTGTCCAGGGTGGAAGAAGGTTCATGAGGGGATGGCAAGGCTTGGCCACCCCAGGGCTGGGGGGAAATGTGGGGTGGATGTTATCTAGGCCTATCTGTGAGATGGGGGGTGAATCTCTGAAAGGCTGGAGGGTGGTCAGATGGTGTAACAACAACACAAGTCCTGTTGGCACTGTTAGAAGCGGAAGAAAGTGATGTCTGTCTTATTTTTTTTTTTTATTTTTTTGCTGTCTGTGCTGTCCTTGCAGAGGCTGAGGAGCAGCATGGAGGAGCAGGTGAGCCTGGCGGAGCTGCCTGCAGCTTTGGAGAACACACTCGTGGTCCCCAGGAGCAGGCTTCAGCATCCAGCTGTCACCTCCTACGGATACAAACTGCAGTGCCTCAGGTAAGGGTGCTGCTCCCTGTGAGGAGGCCCGTCTGTGGGGTGCATGAAATATCTCCTAATGCAGTGCTTGCCGTGCCTGCAGGATCCAGGTGAGGCAGATCGTCAGGGAGAGGGATAAGGCCAGGCTGGATTTGGAGAAAGCAGAGAGACGCTGCCTGCAGCTTGGCAGGGAGTTGGACAAGCAGTACGTCGCTCTCGAGCACACCCAGAGCAAGCTCAAGTAGGAGGGGTCCTTTTGGTGGGGCAAGGAAAGTGGTTTTCCTGTGGGTGCCCACAGCTTCTCTCTCCCATCCCAGTCTCCCTTTATGAATCTTCCACTATTTTTGCCATTGCGTCAGTGGCAGAGAAGTCCCTGAAGACCCCCGTCCCCACATTATGGTCTCAGCATCCCTCCAGCCAAGCTCTCCTCTGCTTTGTGCATGGTGAGAGGGAGTGCCTGGACCTTGTGGCCATCTGAGAACACACGCTGGGTGCCCCAACCGTGTCGCTTTTTTCCACCAGGGATTTTCAGACGGATATAGAGGCAAAAGAGCTGCTTTTACAGCAAGCGGTCAGTCACCAAGCAAAGCTGGAGGCTGATAGGCGGTTCCTCCAGGACAAAGAGGCCAGCCTGCAAGAGAGATTGAACCATACAGTGAAGGTAAGTAAAACTGCCCTAGGTGAAACATCTTCACTTCTTCAGAGGAGGCAAGGCAGGGGTGGTGACAAAGATGGATGGTTCATGTTGCCTTTGCTAGGAAGGATGGGAATTTTATGCAGAAAAATCATCAGCCGCATCCATGCTCTTGAATTAACCACAAAGCTTGTTCCCTTGCCATGACATGATTAAATTCCCCCTGTTGGGAGTGGTTTGGCCCTTGGTAACACCTGAGCACCTGATGGCTGTGGCTAAAATTGTGCCAGGGACCACGCCAAAAGCAGAGATGAAGGTGTCTGCGTGCCTGGGATTTTCCCAGTGCTGTTCAGTGTAGAAGTACAGACAGACAGAGCTCAGGACGTGCTGCCTTTGCTGGCTCTGAGGGAAATCATAAGAAGAGCCAAACTCCAGCCCCCGTGGTGTGCATCAGCAGCATTGCTGTCCAAAGTGGGCTCTCCTGGGATCTGTGCTGTCTTTGGCATGCTGATGTGCCAGTTGTTTCACAGCTTCCTGCTGAAGGCAGGCAGCTGTGGCTGATGAACCTGTCCTGCGATGTGAAGACCCACAACATCAAGAGAATCCTCTCCCTTTTGTCTACAGGAGAACACGCAGCTGCAAAACAAGGTCAGAGAGATTGCTGAGAAACTGGCGGCCTCTGAGAAGCTGGTGCTGGAGCTGCAGAAAGAACTCAACCGTGTTGTGAAGGACAAGGTGGCCTTTCTTTCTCAGTTGTGGTTAAATAGGAACTGTTCAGTAACTCATCAAAAGATTGACCCTTTTCCATGAAATCTTGTGTATTTTGGGTCAGTTGTTGTGGTCTCCCTCTCTTTGAACTCTCCTGCACGTTAATGACAACCTGCAAAGAAAAAATACTGGCTTTTAATTTAAACCTTTCGAAGTTTGGAAAAAAAAAAAAAAAAAAAGATGAGGGAAGTTTGCAATTGTAGAAAGTTCTACAAATCTGCAGGCTTCAGGTGACAACTTGAGTTTGGTTTCCAGAAAAGCAAAGCTTTCTTTTCCACGTGTGTTGAAGTAAAGGGTTAGTTTTAGTGTCTTCCAATGCCAGTGAGGCACCTGATAAAATGGATCTGGGGAAAGAAACGAGTCTGTGATCTTGTTAGCCAGTTTGGGAAAGGGAGCCTGACTGTAGTTTGGTGTCTCACACATGAAGAAAAATGTTTCTCCTCCTCTTTCTGCATCTGACCCATCCCACAGGTGACCCTAGGAACCTTTCCATTGAATTTATGGGTGTGGCACCACGACTCCCATAATTTAGTAGAGCTTTTGGCTCTCCATTTGGAGAGGTGATAATTTCCTTGATGAGAAGTGTTTCCCTGTGTTTGTGCAGCTCGGCCAGGTGGAGCCCCACAGCCCAGAGCTCTCGAACCAGAGTGACTGCTTTGCAGAGATTGTCCAGGAGTACGAGCAGCAGTGCCAGGTACAGGTGGGCAGCTTTCCAGCGATGCTGTTGTGGAAGTACAGCTCTCCTCAGCACTTCTGTTGGGCACTTTGGCCTGGGGGGGAGAGGAAGGAGGCAGCCCTAGTCAGAGTGCAGAGCGGAGATCCCTCTTGCCTTGCTCAGAGCCCTTTGGCAGGGGGCAGGACACACCCGTGCTCCTGGTAAAGCAGCTTGTCTCCTTGCTCCTGCAGCCCTCCAGGGGTTGGTTCCCTTGCTGGGGTGCTGGCAGGGGGGAGTAGGGGTGGGCTGTAAATTCCCTTCCTGCTACCCTGTAGCCACACACTATTTTGTCTGGGAACCATGTAGCTATGTGTATAAGGACAGACTGCCCTGGGCTCTGTTGTATTTCTTCTTGAACACAAGGAGAAAGCTGTTCTCCTTTGGAAAGCGTGTTATCACTTAAATTCTTCTACCTTTTTGTTTCTCCCATCCTCCTTCTTGCCACCACTTTAACATCCCGTACAAAACATGTTGCTGCTGGACTCTGCTAGAGAGTCAAGGTAACTGGTGTGTGTGCTGTACCTCCTGCTAGGGTGCTGTGCTCCTGCCCAGAGCTTTGGGCTCTCTGGGACGTGAGCATTGCCTCTGTTTCCTTCCTTCTGGTTTGAAGTGACTTGGGTTATCTTGCATGTTGTGAGTTGCTGGGTGCTTTGCGACTTGGCTCCGGAGTCCTGTGTTTATTGCATTGCCCGTTTGTTTCCAAGTGCCGTGTGTGACTGGGGAACACCACTGAGTAGAGACAACGACTTATCAAATCCCCCCCAGCAGGGGCTGGAATCTGCATTTTCAGCAAAGCTGTTTCATGGATGCAGCAGACAGCCCCTCTTGAAGCTGTAATTAAAGGCAAACGTGCTGGAGTACTATCCAGTGCAGCGTTGCTCCAGGTGGCACCAGAGGGTTGAAGATGCTTGGTGCTGCAATTATTCCTCCCATTGAGCAGCCCCAGAGTTGTCCATGAGAATGCTGTTGGATGGAGAGGTTCAGCCTTCAGGCTTCATCTGTCCCTGTGAAGGTTTATTCTTTACCCTGGTTGAATGCTGTCAGCCCCCCTCTCCTCCTCTGCTCTCCTGTTTAGAATGGAGTTTAAACAAACCGGGTTTGCATTTGTCTAGATCTGTTCAATAATATTTATTAATTGGGATCTTTGGAAGTATCCTAGTTCATAGTCTCTTGCAGCCCACCAGTTTCCTGTGTGGCAGCATGTGGGATCTAATGTGATGTCTGCTCAAAGCGGACAGTCCAGAGGGAAGCAGGATGCCTTGTATGCCCTTGCTTCCAGTACGGGATGGAAGGTGTGAAGTGAAGCAAGGAGTTGCCCAGCTCCAAACACCTGCATGGAAGTGGCTCACTGCATTGTGGTGGTGGCTCGTAGCATGGTGTTTAGATGTGGGACTCCTTGCTGCAAGCTGATGTTGGCACTGAGACTGGATAAACTCCTGTGCTAGCCTCTGAGGTTGTCTCTGTGCTAAGCAGGCAGCAGGGCCTGCCTGGTGCTGTGCTTCCCAGGGACTCACCACCTTCTTGCCTTGCTTTATTCCTTCTGCAACCTGGAAATGTTCCCTTCCAGAGCCCTGTGGGACTCGCTGCAGCATAAATCCTCCTGCTGCTTTCTCTGCATACAGTAGTGCTTGTTGGCTAGTCCAAATGCCCACGGGAGTGTCTTGAGGATGTAAACGCAAACCCCTGGGCTGGGTGAGGGATAGTACTGAGATCACCATGTTTCTTGTGTGTTGACCGCCAGCAATGGTTGTGTTTAGGTCAGGAGGGGTCTCAGGAGGTCAAACCCTCTAAGGTGTTTGCAGAAACCCCTGGTATTGTGTGTTTTTTGCATGCAGGGGCTGTCGCTTGTGGCTCTTCGTGATTTACAGTGTCCAGTGATGGTGATCACAGTAATCTGGTCTTGTATTTCTTCTCTGACCCTTCCAAAATCTCTCATCTTCCTTTGGGAAGGAAGAAAATCCCCCTGTCTTACTCTCTGACTGTGCTGGTGAGGGGGCTCTGCTCTTCATGCTGCAAGAGACACTGAGTACACAAAGCTGCTGGGAGCTTTTGGTGCTTGGCCCCCCACAGCCCTCGGGAGCTTTGTAGCCACATCATAACCTGCCTCCTGCTTCAGGTGCTGTGGGACCAGAATGGAGTGCTGCGAAGGGAGCTGGAAAGGCTGCATCGACAGCTACAGGAGAGCAGGGCTGAGAGAGGGCTTCCAGCAGGAGGTAAAATGCAGGAGGGTTCGGTGCCTCTCCATCTTCTCAGCAAGAACAAGGTTCCCTCTGGATTGGAGTTTCCGTGGGAGTGTGGGGCTGCTTGTTGTGCCTGAGCTGCTGCTGCCAGTTCTGGTGCTGGGCAGCCACGGGAGGGAGGAAAGGGGGTGATGGGTGGTGAGAGATGGGGGGAAGGAGGTTCTTCCACCTCGAAAGCTGGTGATGGTGACCTGTGAACAGGCAGATTCTCACTTTTGAGGATGTTGAGGAAACACAATATAATAAAGAGGAAGTGGCCCCAAGCTGTGGGTTGGGAGATTCGGGTTGAGCATTAGGAAAAAACTTCTGGCCCAGAGTGTTGCAGCGCTGGGGCTGGTTGCCAGATAGATGGGGGATCTCCATCTTTTGGGGTTCTGTGGGCTTGGCTGGATGAAGCTGCAGCCATCCTGCTCAGGACAGCCAGTCCTGTCCTGTCTTGCAGGTCTGTCCTCACACGGCTCCTCTCAGCCAGCGTGCCGCCCTCCCAGCCCTCTGGCTCCCACTTCTCTGTGCTCAGAGACGTCGCTCTCAGTGGAGCAGCTCCAAGAGCAGCTGTGGGATGCGAAGGTGCAGCTGGGAACCAAGGTGAGGGGAGTGGGGGGGTGATATCCTGACTTCTTGGCCTAACTGCTTGGTAAGCACCCTGCTGAGGCGGCATCTGCTGTGGGAGGGTTGCTGGAGAGTTCAGGCTGGGAGCAGGGTGGTGCCTCGTCTCTCTGCTGGGGTTATTGCATGTGCTGCCCCAGCCCATCTCAGCTGGTAGGAGGGTTTGGAGCCCTCACTGGCTGGCAAAGGCTTTGTGGAAATCTCTGTCACCTTGCAAAATGTTTGTGCGGGTCTTGCTCCTTATGGGGAACCAGAGTTTAACTTTACTCAGTGTTGCTGTTGCAGTAAAACAAGCAACAGGGCCAAGAGGAGAAGCTGCCAGGTATGAGAGCCCTGTCTCCTTGGGCTTGCAGCACACTTTTAACCTGCTTGCCTTAAGGTGACAATGTGAGCCCAGCCCTCCCTTTAAACATCAGTGGCTGCTCACGTGAGAGGCCTCAGTTTCCACCTTCGCTCTTCCTTATGCTGCTGAACTGAAAGGTCAGGGATGCTTGCTGAGCTTCCACTGCAGCACTGCAAGGGTAAATCCTAAACTGCCACGCAGGTGATGAACAGTTCAAGCAGCACAGAGCTGCTTGCAGATCTTCTGCCTGCTTCATAGTCCCGCCTTTGTGCTCATCAAATCCTGGAGTTTCTAGTGTTTACAGGGGGAGTCGTGGGGAACAGCAGCTACTCACCACCACATCTTGGACAAGGGACCACTCCTCAGGGTGGAGGAAGGATATGAGGAGCAGTGGCGGATGATGCTCTGGCCTCTCCCTTCTCCCCTTTGCAAACAAGGAGAAAGGGGGAGAGCTGTGCTGCTTGCTGGGGAGAGCTGTGACCCACCAATATCTGCTTGTTAGAGGCTGCTGCATGAGACTGGTTGTTGCCCTAATTTCAGTGGGGACCAGAACTGCCTGGAGAATGGACCCTGTTGAGAAGGACCAATAGATCGATCTGAGTTGGAGCTACTGGAGGAGAGAGTCGCTCGGGGGAGCATGGTGCTAATATCCAAATCCTATCTCCTTCCAACAGATAAACTATTACGAGGAAGAAATGGAGTTAATGAGGAAAAACTTAGAGAGAAGGATAGTGAGGGAAGCTTCAAGGCTGAGCTGAACAAGGTGGAAGACCAGAAAGGAGAAGCAGTTGCAAAGTACTGGGCTGTAACTGATAGCTTGAAAGAGCAAAAATGTGTGTGCAGCCTGGAGCTGGAGGAGGGGTTTGAGATGGAGCAGGCCAGGGTAGGACAAAAGCACACCAAAGACTTTTACCATCCAGGGCAGCAGCTGGACCAGGAGGAAGGAGAGCTGAGGATGCAGCGCAGGGACAGAGAGAGCCTGAGGTCTGGCAACCTTCTCTTTCTGGGGCTAAGCGGGAGACTAAGGGTACATCCCCTGCACAGTCTGGAAGAAAATCTGGGCAGTATTGCAGGGCTGCAGCTGTTCAGAGTGAGATTGTCTAAACTCCCCTTACATGAGTGCTTTTATTTCAAGACTAGAAGTTTCCCTGCACGTTCAACCAGCTTGTGCCAGAGGCAGTGCCCAGCAAAGATTGTCTCTCAAAACAGGGAGAGAAATAAGAGAGCTTTCATCAGTGTTTTCTTATTATCTCTCTCTTTCTTGTTCCTTCAGCAAACCTGCCTCTACTTGCTAGATAGTCACAACCTGCTGTCTTAAAAGCAGCAAAAAATGGCTTAAATTTCTCTATGTAGCCAAAACAGACTGGCTTGTGGGAGAGTAAGGTTGTCACTAAATGGCTGTTCATCTTCCCTTCCCGTGCTTATGGTGCCAGTTCTGCAACCTTCCCAGGGGCCAGAATGGCCTTGCAGAGGAGATTGGAGAGGAATTGGACAGGAAACTGTTGCCTGTCCGTGCCAGCCCCGCTCCTGCTTCCCAGCACATCCCACCCCTGCCCACAGGCTTTCCTCCTACCTCCTTCCTGCTGTGCCTCCCTTCGGGAGCAGAGTCCCCTTTGGCAATACACAGGAGTATTTTGCTAGGTGACAATCCCTGTTTTAGGGCTGAGGAGCTGAGATATGGGGTAGGTGTGGGAGAAAGGAGGTGACTTGGCTGAAGGCTGTGGCAGACCAGGGGCACAAACCCAACTAACAGGAATACAAGGCATTAGAGCTGTGTTCCCACCATCTCTGGTGATTGGTAGAGGGACTGGCTATAGCAGGAAGCTTTCAGAGTTGTTGGAAACCATCTGATGGATGAGTCTTTGAGAAGTGCAAAATGCTGTGGGAACTTTCTGTAACATTTAATTACTTGCCTTGACTTTGCAACCTGAGAAAAAAATTTGCATTGCCTCTCCAGTAAAAGGATGTTCTGAGGCTGGCTGAGATTTTCAAGCTGTGTTATCAAATCCGGGTCAACAAAATGGTTTTTATCTTTAGGAAAGATGCAGGGGTTGAGCATAATCAGGAGCTGTCATGGAGTGAGTGCCAGCGTGAGGACAGCTGTAAGCCTTTGCTGCAGCAACATTGGTGTGAGAGGAAGTGATTTCTCAATGATAAAGGCTCCAAGGGGAGACCTTCAAGAGCAGTGTGCCCAGGAGAAGCAGCAGTGAAAGTGGAAGGAAAAGGACATGGTCTCTCTGTGGAAGAAGAGGCAGCTAAAGTTGGAAGGGAAGGTTAATGAGGAACAAGTCAAGATGTGTGAGATGCTGGCTGTTGAGAAGAAAAAAAAAAAAAAGACCAGGGTGAAATGGGAATAATGCAGAGATCACGGGGCTGAAGGTTCTGGTGTCGGAAGGGACAAGGTGTCTGGAGAGCTGCCCTCTGAGGGGGGAAAGGAGCAGGTCCCCAAAACTCAGATGAGCAGGTAGACCAAAATCTCCTGTTGCAACCTTAGCACCGAAGGAACAGAGAAGAAATGAAAAACTGCGTGATAGGCGGACCAGTGCAGACCGTGAAGACAGCTGTTGCAGCGAATGGCCTGCTCGGTGTAGAAGCTGGAGGCAGAGCTGAAGACATTTGTCATGGAGAAAGGAAATCTCGATAGACAACGGGATGGGCTTGGGAAGGTGGCAGAGAAAGCAAAGTTAAGCGGTTTGCCTTCTCACAGCAGACACAGCAGGGTGTCAGGACATAGACAGACTTGATCTGGAGGGCAAGAAGAGTTAAAAAAACCCTGCGTGACAGGGTGGCACAGCAGCACAGGAGGAAACATGACATTCAGGCTGTCAGAGTGGAGCTGGAGAGGGAAAGAAACAAGGTGAAACTGGAGCTGATGCAGCTCAAAGATGTCGTGCACAAAAGGAAGAGCTCAAGAGAGTGGCAGGTTTGAGCGCAAAAGCCGTTTGCAGAACTAACACAGTGCTGCTGCCACAAAGCAAGCAAGTACCTTGTGAGACACAAGGCTGCTTATCAACGTGGTGGTTCAAGACACACCAACAGCAACTGTGTTCTCTCTTGGCACTTTATAACAGCAGCTGTGTTCTGTCTTTCTGTCCACCACATGTCTTTTACTTGTGGAATTATGGTCGGAGAGCTGGGATGTGCTCACGCGGCTGCCTCTGACTATGCACCCCATCTTCTCTGCCTTGTACAGCTGTACGTGGGTGTTGGAGATGCCACAGGAAGCACAGCGTGTGAATCCTGATGTAAAACTGCCTCAGAAAGCAGCTGCTGTGAGGAGCATCCTGCCAAGCAGGGGGAGCAAATGCCACACAGCCCATGCACTAGTCCTCTCGCTTGCTTGGAGAAGAGAGGGAGAACTTCCCCACTTGGCTTCTCTGCCTCCCACACACAGTGCCACGAACTGCAGTACTGTCCTCCCTGCCAGGATGGACAGTCTATTCTCCTGTGCCCTCCCCTGAGGAATTTGGGTCCTATATGGACCCGGGGTTTAGCAGTTGAGCAGTTGGATAGGACACAGGACTGAGCTTCCTTCCCACAGGTGCCAGTATTTGTGGCCTCATGGGCGTCTGGGAGTACCAGTGGAAGTGGAAGGATGATGAGGGTGGAGAGGTCGTAGCTGTTGTGTCCAGAACTGTAAAATCACAGAGGCCTCATAAGCAAGCTGGCTTCTCCAGACATGGCTCTATGGCAGTTGAGGGGTTGGGCTTACCACCTGGTTATCCTGTAATGAAGTCTTGCTGTGTCTTGATGAGCCAAATGGCTTTGTTTCCACTCCTTGGCAGGCCTTCAGAGTAATTTCAGCCAGCTGGAAGCCACACAAATTCAGGGTCTGATGCTATTTGTCCTTATTCCCCTTTATTTCCTTTCCCTTGAAGACCTGCTCCTTGTCTACCAATGTCTCTTGATTGTCCCCACATGTTTTATGTGAGTAATTGGGTGGTTGTTTCTCAGATTTCTTTAGTTCTTGCCGTCCTTGCAAACCAAGTGGGAATAGAACAGGGAGTCAGCATAGAATGCCAAGAGCAAACTGGGCTTTTGCATGGTTTTCTCACTCTGCTGTCTCACCCTGCAGGGGAGAGCTGTGCCAGCTGCTAGGGAACAGCTTGCTGAAAAGTCAGCTTGGGAGACTGTCGTGGTTTGGGCCTGGTTGGCAGCCAACCACCACGCAGCAGCTCTCTCTCCCTTCTCTTCCGGCAATAAGAAGGAACAGAGAGCCAGGCTTGGGGTTTGAGATAGGACTGGGATGGGGAAAAAAATCCCCCTTTATGGTCACGAACAAGAGGCAGAATCGTTAGGGGAAGAAAAAAAGAACATACATTTATTACAGACACTAACAACACATACCAGAGTAGGACAGTGAGAAGCATTGCCACATCTTGAGAACACCTTCCCCCCACCCCTCCCTCCTTCCCGGGCTCAGCTCTGCTCCCGATATCTCTACCTCCTCCCCCAGCAGCGCAGGGGCAGGGAATGGGGGGTGCAGGCAGTGCTGCCACTTCCTTCATCTCCAGTGGGGGGAGCTTCTGGAACTTCTTCCCCCTGCTCCATCGTGGTCCCCCTCTCACAGGAGACAGTCCTCCACAAACTTTCTCCAACGTGAGTTCCTCCCACGGGCCGCAGCGTTCCCCACACTGCTCCGTCATGGGTCACCAACTTCCTCCAACTGGATTCCCTCCCACGGCTGCAGCCCTTCCCGAGCTGCTCCGGCGTGGGACTCCCCCGCATGCTGCAATCCTCCCAGCGCTGAATTACAGCAGCGGGGCTGCCTTTTCCCATGAGACCCCGGCCTTCTTCGGGCACAGCACCTTGATCAAGCAGGCAGAAGCCACAGGCCATAAATCAGTGTCTGCTCCACCGTAGATCTCCATGGGTGGCAGGGGGGGCCTCCCTGCCGTCTCCCCACAGGATACAGGGGGGTCTCTGCTCCGGCACACCTCCCCCCTCCTTTCTTCCTCCGTTCCTCCACTGACCTTGGTGTTCATGCAGCTGCAGCAACTCCTCCTCACCAGTCCCACTGCCCGTCACCACGTCCCTTCTTAAATACATTATTGCAGAGGCGCAGCTGATGGGCTCAGTTTCCCAAACAGAAGTGGAGCTGACGTGGAGCTGGGGGAGCTTCGAGAAGCTTCTCACAGGGGGCCGCCCCGATAGCCCCCTCCCCTGCCACCAAAAAACTCCACCACTCACTCAACCCAGAAGAGAGACTCCAGCAAGAGCTGAGGCTAGCAAAGGAGAAGGGCAGTGAACACGATGAGTACGAGAGGGGCCCGCTGTGGGAAGCTGGCAAACGGGTGGATAGCTAATGCTTGTAAAAGGAAGAGCCACTCAGGTGCATTTTCCAGATCTCATCTAGCTCAGCCTGCCTTTTGTTTTCTTGTACCTGAGCAAGCCAGCGCTCTCACACGCTTCACTCCATGCAAAAGCAGCCGGTGTTGGGCTGAGCTCGGGCAGGCCAGAGCACAGGGTCCAGAGCCGGGTTTGGGGAAGGCTGTGGGGATGCATATGCTGAAGGAGGAAAGGTTGGGCTGCTTCGCTACACAAACCATTTGGCCAGTGGGCCCGCTGCTGCCTTACAAAGCTCGAGATAGGTTCTGGGGTCACCCACTGAGCCATAAATCCAAGGAGAGCCAGGTTTCTGGTGCAGATGGTCCCAAGAATCTGCTAAACTGGCTCTCCCGCTGTCCTTCATCCCTTAATTTTTAGGTGTCTGACAATGTTGCAGGACTTTGGGTGTCGCCAGCTCTCTGCCCTGGGGCAAACACCTGACCCACTCCTGCATCAATTCAGGCCCATAGCCGTCTTGGCCTGGCTTTGCTTCCTCTTGCAGGCCAAAACCAGGTGTGTGTCTCCCCGAAACGGGGCCCTTCTCTGGGGGACCGTGGTTTGCTGCTTTCTGGCCTGAAACTGATTGTATCCCTCTCCCTGACAGGAAGGACGTGAGTGAGTTGGGCAGAGAGAAGTTGGAGGAGCTGGCTGAAATAGCCGAGTTAACAGCGTTGTTAAGAGGCCATTAGCACTGACTGACAAGCTCTTGGCTAAAGGATTTAGGAGGACAAGAACTGGACGTGCTTATAGAGGAGAAGTGGAATGTTTGTTTCAAACAGTCAAACTCAGTCTTGCTTTGAAGAACCAGCTTAATTTTATAGCTTGTCAAGTAGAGATCTGTGTGACAAAAGCCAGCGAAGGGAAGGTGTTACTACAAAATCTCTAATGAGGTTGACTTTACCTACTTGCACTTTCTTGCAGTGCTTTTGCTCGCTCCCAGTCTCACACCCCCACGTTCGCAAGCCCTTGGACGTGTGTGCACACAAGGCCTGGCTGGGGTTGCTTGTGTGCAACACGGACAAGCCTTGCAGGCAGTTAGTTCCTCACGCCGTTCCTGGGATTCCTCATGGCTGGAAACCACAACCTGTTTTTCGGACATCATGTCTTTTATACTCTTTCAGAGCCACCAGCCCCAGCAGGGTGGCCTTTGCTGGCTTCAGCTTCTCTTAACCTCCAGCCACAAACCTGCTGCCCGCTGTCTGCTTTTCCTCCTTTGGAGGAAAGCTGTGTTAATTGCCCGTTTTCCTGGGAGGCTGGCAGAGGAGTGGGATGTGGGGTGTGTTGCTGCCCTGCCGTTAGATGCAGGCTTTCTGCTGACATGTTAGCTGTGCTGTGGTCCGGTCAGAGCACAGACCAGAGACTGCACCTTGTTCAGCATTGCTGCCGGGGACTGTGTCCTAGGAGCAACGTCTGGGGGGGGATGGTGGCCTTTGGTATTGCTGCAGGCTGCTCTTGTAGCCCTTACTGTGCTCTTTTGTCTGGTACTTTGACCCGTGCGCACGGACACGTTTCCGTTCATGCTGTATTCTTACCAATCTCAGCACCTTAATATTTCTGTTACGCATCCTTACAGTCACACCCGCCCCTCTGCCCCGTGACCTCCTCCAGGGCTGTCATTTGTGCGGGTTTTCTTACCTGGGAATGCTGCGTTTGAACTCGGCTGCTGCTCTTTGGTCAGCCTGGGAAAGGAGGGAACTCGCCCTGTGTGCCCTCCAAGGCCCCGCAGCGACAGCGGTGGTCCTGAGTGGGGAGCCCAGCAGGGACAGCGTGGGGCAGGTTAAGCCTCTGTTGCCTCTCTTTGCACCCCAAGCCTCTGTGCGCGCGTGGTTTTTTTTTTTTTTTTTCCTCAACCTTTTCCAGAGTGAGAAGAGCGAGGGGGAGGTCTCCCACCTGGATGTCAAGATGCGTCAGCTGGGCTGTGAACCGCCTGAGCTCAAGGCTGGCCAGCTGCAGAGCCAGAGGCTCGCGGAGGCTGAGCAGCCCCGAGGAGCAGAGATGGCCGCAAGGCCGGAGCATCACCAGCATCATGCAGCACGTTGGATGGAGACAGAGCTGCTCCAACAGCAGCTCAAGGCCTCGCAGGAGAAGGTGGGTGTCACTCAGGGCGGCAGGCAGGCTGCTGAGTGGTCCGTGTGATGTTGGTATTGCCCTGCTTGGGGCTGTATTGGACCTTCCCCAGGCAGAAAAGACCGTCCTCTTCCTCTTTATGGGGGACAGAGGACTCACCCTTCGGCTTAGATATGTATGAAGTGAGTTTAGGTGCAGCTTGGGACAGGTCCTTGCTTGCAGTTGCCCCTGTGGTGGCACCTCCGTTCGTGTCCCGGGCGGGCGGGCTGGGCAGAGGGGGTGGAGGTTGAGTAGAGGTGGCTCACGCAGGAGTGCCAGGAGCTGTGGTTCCTCACGGCTCAGCTGACAGAGGAGCTAGAGGAGCGACAGAATCAGGGACTGGGCAGGGATGACGGGGGCCTCGCAGGCCGTGTCTGAGGGGAGGGAAACGAGAGGTGATCAGAGGAGGGGAACAAGGAGAGAGGAAAGCGGATGTGAGAAACCTTCCGATGTGTTAATATCCCTCTCCTGCTACCCTGGGGACAGGCTCAGTGTCTGGCTTCCCAGAGTGTAGCTTGCCCATGCCAGCCACCCCTAGGGCAAAGCCAGGTCAGACCTGCTTCCCAGTACCGGGTTTGCCCTTTGCTGGTGGCAAGAAGCAGAGGACATGTAGTACAGGCAAGCTTGAAGCCCAGCTTGCCTGGGATGTGTCTTAAGAACAAACCCAGGTGAGCAGCCTCCTGCCATCGCGGCCCTTGGTGCTCGGGCTCCCTCCCGGAGGATCCCTCCAGCAACTCCTGCTCAGCGAGGGGAGCATCTCTCAGCAAGGGGGGGGGGGTTCCCTCTTTCTCCTCTTGCAACTCTCAGTGCTTTCCATGCCTGACTTTGTAGGCTGCCCAGCGAGCACCGCTCCCGTGGTTGTGGTGTTCTGCTGTGGCCGTGCCGGTGCGAGCGCCGAGGCGGGGGCTGAGCGTGCTTCCTAACCTCTCCCCTCACCTGCAACACACCCCGGGCCTGCCCCGTCGCTGCCATAAAGCTGTAACCAGCTGTTAACCTTTTTGTGTTACAGCTCTTAGAAGCCGAAGCAAACCTGAGCCTGGTCCAGACTCGGCACGCTCTGCAGTTGCGGCAGGCCAAGGCCCAAATGAACGACATGGTGCCGAAGAAGCAGTTCGAGCAGCTTCAAAGCAGCTTGAGGCAGGAACAGCGCAAGGTTCAGCAGCTCCAGGAAGACCTCCACCGGCAGGCTGAGCACACATGCAGGCAGCTGGTGAGGACTCAGGTAAGCAGGGAATTGCAGAAACACGGTCCAAGGTACCAGGGAGAGAGCACTGCCAGCCTGGAAGGCAGCTGTGGTCGGAGCCAGCAGAGGTTTGGGTGGAAGATGCTATATATCAAGAGCCCACGTGTTAAATGTGCTTGATCTTTAATTCAGCTACAGTTTTCATTCTTCATGAACCTAGTCACCACCCTGCCATCAAACAGGAGCCCTCCCCACGCTAATCCACCTACCCCAGACCAGATACCTTGAGCCTAGAGAAGCAGGAATTACCCAACTGCGTTGGCTCAGGCTGGGGAAAGGAGGTTCGAGCCCTCTGCGTGGAGATGTAGCCTGCAGAGAGCGGAGTGGTTCTGTCTCTAGGGCACTGGGCAACAAGGTGTTGGGTTTTTGTGAGTTTGCCCTTTGTTTCAGGGCACTGTGATTCAATTCAACTAACATGGTCAAAGGTGGAGCAAATTATAACCGAAGGGAGTAAAATGAGCAGACAGAAAAACTGCATCCGAGAAAACTCTGTCTCTCCCTGGGCTTCTCTGGACACAGCTGAGGGAGGGGAGACCATTGGGCTGTTTCGATAGAAAATATTGCTGGGAAATCTGTGCCTTGTCTTCGAATCAGTTGGTGCTAACCTAGGGAAGGTGGTACTGTTCTAGATACTTGTCCCACTGCTCTTTGCAGCCTGCACCACCTCCGCTGATCCCCACCACGCTCTCCTTCAGGGAGTGTGGAGGCCTGTGAGTGTGGCCCTGGAGAAACGGGTGGTGCAGGACGGCCAGGGGAATGTTAGGACAACCCGACGTTAGGCCCTGTTGCTTGCTGCAGGAGGAACATGAGCGTCTGCTGCAGGCAGCTGTGGAGCAGGCAGAGGGGCTGGAGGACAGCCTGAGGAGTGCCGAAGCTTTGCTGGCGGAGAGGGCGGCTCGGCTCGAAGATGCCCAAGTGAGTGAAAAAGGGGTTTGTGCTGCGTGTCCCTGCCTGGCTGGGACCCCTGCGTGGGGATGCTGAACCTTAAACCTCCTGTCCTCGCTCGTAGGCCCAGCTCTCGAGGAACAAACTGCTGATGGAAAACCTCTGTGAGGAGAACAGGGGGTTTGTGCTGGCCCTGCAGGCAGCTGAGCTGAAGCAGAAGAGCACTGAGGAAAAGAACCAGCTGTTGGAGGAGCAAGCCTCAGCTCTGAAGCAGCTCATCAGAAAAATCACACCAGCATCTTTGAGTGGGTGATGGGGCACCCACTGTGGCAACCCTGCCCCTAGTCCTAGCCGGGGTTTGTCAGGTGTGGAAGGGTAGGTATGGCCGGGTTGGGAAATCAGCCTCATCTTCCCTGCTCTTGCCAGGATTTTCCTGGGTAGAAAGTAGAAAACAGAGAAACCAGACAGTCCTTTAAGGAAATTGGCCCTGTGTATAGCTGAATTTTCCTGCTGAAAGCACCAGCTTTGCTGCCTCTTTCAGTGGCAGAGTGTGCTGCTGTAAGCCAGGTCTGTCTCGGGGCAGCCAGCCCCCAGGAGCTGCCTGCACTGTCGGCGTGTTTGGTGGTGGTGCAGGTGCTCCCTCTCCGTGGAGGGTGGCTGCTGGGATCACGCTGTTACAGCTGGAAAGCCAGGGCAGGAGGGCTGGCAGGTTCCTGCATCTGGCTCACTTCTAACAGGAAAGCCGTGTTGTGGCATTAAAATGTTTGCAAATATTACAGCACCACCTGCCATCTCCAGTCTGCTCCGTGTTTCAGTAGCCTCCCCCAAATGTTGTTGAACTTTTATTCCCTACAGTTCCTCTTGGGCTCTAGGACACTCTGGCCCTCCTAAAGCCCGAGCCTAGGATCCAAACCAACCTGTTGCCAGATTGTTGCCTCTGCAGTGAGCAGGACAGAGGGGCTGAGAGGGAAGAGCCTGCTTTCAGTTTGAGCCTCCAAAGCTTGGGGCGGGCTTGGCGATGCCTGCTCAGCACTGCACTTCTTCAAAGGAGACCAGGAGATATGGTAAGCAAACTGTCTATCTTGTGTTCCTTGTTGGCTTTCACACACTGGCGGCGAGTAGTGTTCTTGCTGAAGTTGTCTTTTAAAAGGCCACCAAGCCAAGTGTCGACATCAGCAAATACCAAATTGATCTGCCTAGGGTGCCATCCTCCGCACGGAGGAGGTGGCATTGCCATGGTGCCCCTGCCTTGCTCTGTGCAGAGCAGAGGGTGGTTACGTGGGGGGCTGTGGTTGCCACTAGCTGTGAGAGGACTCCTCTGGGGCTATGGAGACTGCTGCACAAGAGAGACTAGACACGCGTGACTGGATCAGGGCAGCAAAGCACAGGCTGAACCAAGTTAATGCAAAGAGAGCTCAGAAATAGCTCAAGCTGTCGGTCCAAGAACAAAAGGGGATGAATCGGCTGTGCGAGCTAAAACTTAGCCACTAAGTCCCAGCTTGCCAGGGCAGAGAGGTTCCCCAGGCCTGTGACAGTGCCAGGAAGGAGCTGGAGGCTGTGGCTGAGGCCTCCTGGATCTAGGTGTGCTTTTTCTGCCGTGGTGGGTGACAGCTGAGATTCCTCTTTCTTTGCCTTGGACGCAGCCCTGATTACCTGGGCTGTGAGGGAAGCTGGGGTTTTACAAGGAAGCCCCACGGAGTGTGTGGGCTAGCTCAGGGAAGGTTCCTTGGCTGGGGCTGGGAGAGTAATGCCCCAGGCATTTATCCTGTTCATGTTTTCTTCCCTAAGTATTTGCTTTTAGGCTGGTGTCAGAGGTGGCAGCTAGGCAAACCTCTAGTCTTACCTTGGGCTTATGTTTTTAGAAGTGTCCTGTCTCGGGCACGACTTGAGAGTGAGCAGCTCCATTAGGAATACCAGACAGGAAGAGCAGCTCTTCAGTCTTGCTCTGGTTTTGTGCTAACTGGAATCCTTAAAACCCTCTGCTCCCTTTCCCACCTCTACTCCAAATAGTCCCCAGGCCCCGCCAGGCCAGTGCTCTGAGGAAGGAGGCTCTTCCTAGAGGGACAGAGGCACAGCCCGAGCATGCAGGGAGAAACCTTGGCCAGGCCCATGACCCAGACTGCAGTGCTCATTCACTCAGCACCTTAAGAAACATTTATGGGACCCTGATGGGAGACAAAGCTTCATATCTAATCCTGGAAAGAAGCTCGTGCAGCCTCACCTGACGCTTGGAGGAGCAACTCCGCTGAGACACCTAAATAACTGTTTGAGCTTCACCCTCTAGGGTCAAGATAGGTTGGGCCAAAAAGCCAGGTCAGATTGTTTAACACGTTCACTCTTGAAAAAACACTAACTTGAAGGGCTGAGGCAGTTCTTTATTTTCCAACTGTGGAGCTGCCGGAGCCCAGGCAGTTGGCATCTTATTCTCACACGCACAGTGTGAACAAAGAACTGCTCCAAACAAAAACACATTCACAAAACCTGCGGGTAGCTGTGAGGCTTGGAAAATATCCCCCCCCCTCCCACCCCTGTGCCCCCTCCAACGCCTCCCCCCACCGCTACGTTACCAGCATGCACCCCGTGGGCATGAAGAGCTGGCCAGTGCGGTTTGCATACTTTATAATGTCAGGGCTGATCTTCATGTCAGGTATCAAAGGCTGCTGAGAGGAGCAGCAGGGCGCCCACTGCAGAAACACCCGAGGTGTCTGAAGTCCTGCACACACCAGAGTTCAGTCCCTGTCGTGGGCAAGGCTCGTCCCTCCCGTCCTGCACGCTCACGACAGAATGTGCTCAAGGACTCCTTGTCTGATTAACTGCTCACATTTCCAGCGGGGTAGAAAGTGCTGCACAGAAACACAGACAAACTTTCCTTGAAACCCAGGCAGACTGGACTTGTTACCGTTTGTTGGGCTGTATGCCTGCTGCATTGTAACACCAGATCGGGCAGAGCTGAGCTGCAGCCCTGAGCCCGAGCAGCGCGTGCAGGGAGCTTTGTGGGGGGGAACTTGGACGTGCTGTGAAGCTGGGATGAGCAGGGGGATGTCACAGAAGTGAAAGGGAAGGAAGAAAGCACGCTCTCTCTCGTCATGGGTACCTGGCTATTTTTCTTCAACAGGACAGTGGTGCCATCATCGATCTCAAATTCTCCGTAGTCTCTTAAACACCGCACCTGTGAAGTGGAAACGCAGCTCTCGGGTCATCACATCTCCCACAGAAAACCCCAGGCATCACTGCTGATTTACAGCACGGGCCCCAGAACTTTAAGTAGGGACACGTTCCTCCCCTCCTGCTGGAGCTTCGGTAGAGCAGACCTGGAAATCCCATGATCCGTGCACTCTTACCTGACGTTCTTTTCCTGCCTCTGCCTGGAGCAAGAAGCAGCCCAGCCCAGCCCAGCCCTCCACAGAGACTAGAGGAAGAGCAGCACAAGAGACAGGCTCTGGGGAACAGCAGCAGCGTTTGCAGGAGAACCTCTCCACAGGCAAAGACCAGAAAATGCCAATCTGCTAACACTGGAACAGTCAAGGAGCAGGTCAACTGTCACCACACGTTCTTTCGAAGAGAACATCAGAACAGAGCCCTTCAGCTACTGACTGATTTCTCACCTGCTCTTGCTTTATCGTATCAATTGTGTAAAACGATTGATGGTCTCATCTATCAGAGTCCATTCAAAATAACAACAAAGAAAACCAGCCAACAATCCTTAACAGGAGGACAAGGTTTCTAGTTGATCTAAGAGTTGGTCAAGCTTCTGCAAAATGCTGCAAAAGCTTCTCACCGGGATATACCGACCACTCACCCCATCACACCGATTCCCTGCAGACTAGAAATGCCGTATTTCAACATACTTTGAGCCCCCAGTAGAAGAGGGAGTAAAATGCTGGCAGGCAGGGTGCAAAGAGTACAATGCAGAAGCTTGTGGAAGCTTTTGGTGCTCTCAGAGGCTTTGCTCAATGACCTCCTGATCTGGGATGGGAGTAAAACTCTCTGAAAAAAGATGGCTGGGCAAAAAGTTTGTTCACAGACAGAAACCACCAATCTTGCACTTACTTCGATGTACAGGCTTTTCGGAGGCTTTATGTCCTGTGTAAGGTCCAGCCCCTCCTCTCCTCCTACTGACCTCATGTAGGCAGCCAGAGACTTTTTGTACCGATTCAGCCACTCCGCCTGCGGACATTAATCGATCGCGTCAGGCAAAGCTGAACAGCTAATGCACAAGGACAGGTCCACCACGAGCAAGATCTAGTTTATTTGTGCTGTCAGGCCACTGTTCCCAAGCACGTGCACGCAAAAGTAAACGGAGCTCTTCTGAAGGGGAAAACTGCCCCAGAGGCAGAGCACCCTGGATTCGGGGCGGGACACGTGCTAATGCTAGCGGCTCTGGATGTTGGGCTAGGGTTGGCATTTGAGAGCAGCGTGTGAAGACCTGGTTCTGTTGCAGTTACCTTAATGAAATAGTTTGATTCCTAGAATATTATTTTGATTTTAGTTTAAAAGTATGATTTTGATTTAACATGAAGCTACAGTAGCTCTGAAAATATAAAGTACACGAAGGCCCTTAGGATTAAGCAACTAGTAGGCTGTGTGCTTTGAACGTTATAAGAATCGTTACGGGCTCTGAATTAACGCAATGGGTGCTGGTTATGGATCTTGACTTGAAACAAGAGGTACCTGAGGAAAACTGGTTTGGTTGGAAAGATTGGGCAAGGGAGAGGTGAACATTAACCAAAGGTGGAGTGAGCATGCGCAAGGATGGAGTTCAATCAGCCGACACAGTGATGAAGACTATCAACGAGCACCAGAGACCCCCATCCAGCATGTGTTAGAGACATTTGCATATGATAATTTCCAAGAAATAACATGAATATGCTAATCATTGCCCCCCCCCCCATTCTATTTAAATCAATTAGTGAGGATGACCAATGATTTCTGCAGAATAGGAATATAGGTAGGGAGAGGTAACTAAAAGCCAATCATTATAAAGGTCAGCTTAAACGTTATGGAATTATTGATCTTATGTAACTATGACTCTGCTGAAAAAGTGTATAAATATGTTGTGCTTTGTACCTATCGACGAACACGTCTGTGGCGGAGCTATCCCCCGTGTTCCCCAGCGCTGGAATAAAGAAGTGCCTGCTTATCTGCTGGCTGTAGGTAAGTTCTATTCGCGATTGCGACCGCTAACGGTTCCGCTGGCTGCGAGTCTGATCTAGTGAAGACCCCCGGAGCCTTCAAAGTGCCAAGCATCACCAGTTTGGGGTTGTCCCCACCGACACTGAACGAACAAATCAGGATTTACAGAAGGGCAGGTTAAGTGTCGTGCTTCTAGCGGGGGGAAGAGAGGTCCTACCCTGTTCTGACTCTACTAAATGGGTCATCCATCAGGAGGAAATCAATTGAAGGGAGGGTTGGAGGCAAAGTGGACTCACTTCCTCAGCTGACATGTGAAACTGGATGGTGTTTGGCAGGACGCTGCCACACTCCCACCTCAGCGCGCGGATCCGCAGCAACCTGTCGTACCTGGGGGGAAGGAACAAAGGACAAACCCAGCACCTTTCAGCATCCCCAAGCGACGCTCTCCTCCTAGCAGAGAGCAAAAACCTGAGTCGCTCCACCCGCCTTCCTTTAAAAGATGTTGATTTTTTTTTTTTTTTTTTTTTTTTTTGGACCTATCCAGTAATTAAAACTTTTAAAGAGCTGGAGCAAACGGGGCTTTCTCTTTCTGCTAGCGTTCGGCTGTAGCAGCAAGGAACACAACAGCCGGCCCCGCGGCTTCACCTCGCCTGGGCCGGGAGTCCCAACCCCCAGCGCTTAGCGACGCTGTTTTTTAAGGCTGCCCCCCCCTGTGCCGGTGGGTATGAACCCACGCTGCGTGGGCCGGAGGCAGCCCACTCCCCCCCCCCCCCCGCCTCACTCACAGGTAGGCCAGGACACAGCGCTGGTTGCGGAGCAGGCAGCAGTGCCGAAACCGAATGAGGAAAATCAGGTCCGTCCGCCCCGCCTTCGCTTCGGATCTGGGAGGAGGAGCCGCGGTTACGGTCGCTGCGGGACTTTTTTTTTTTTTTTTTCCTTTTTTTTTTTTTTTTTTTGGGGGGGGGGGAGGCGGGGTTGGGGGGCACCGCGGCACTCACACATCCGCCTGGTTCCGCTCGTACAGCTCCCGCATCTCCTCCAGCGCCTGCCGCAGCCCCTCCGCCTGCAACCGCGGGCACAGTCAGGGAGGAGCGGGCCCACGGTGCGTGGGGGGGGGGGGGGGGGAGCCCGTCCCGTTTTTACATCCCCCCCCCCCCCCCCCCCCCACTCACCCGGAAAGGCGGGAGGTTCCCGCCGGCGGCACCGCGCAGCTCCCGCACCAGCCCCGCCGCGCGCTCTCCCGCCATGGCGTCCCGCGCGCGGGAAACCCGGCCCGCGCCGGCAGGCCAATGGCGGGCGGGAGGGCGGGGCCACAGCTCCCGCCTTGGCGCCACCCGCCGCCATTCCGCGCCCCGTTAAACCCCTCCCCGGGGGCTCCCCCCCCCCCCCCCCCCGCAGCGCCAACCCCGCACCCGACTCGTCCCTTTTCCTCACCTACCCCCGTTTTCAGGCTTATTTTGACATTTTTTGTTTCTGACTTTTTTTTTTTTTTTTTTTAAGTGGCCTCCCGCCCCAAGGTCACGCGTGACAGGAGCAGGAACTAGGCGGGGGGGGGGGGGGTCCCAGCCCAGCTTTGGCTTGGAGCTGGGCTACCGCCGGGAGGCTGTGCCGACCCCCCCAGAGGGACACGGTGCAGCGTGGGCTCTGCCACCAGAGACAAGGACACGGCAGGGTTAAAATGAAGAGAACCGGGGGGGGGGGTGGGGGGGTGGGGGGGATGTCCGGCGCCAGGACGCTGCGCTGATCCCACCGAAACCCGAGGGGTCTCCTCCTCTGGGTTCCAAAAAAGGCCCCCCAGGAGCAGCGATGGGAATGGGGGGGGGGGGCACTAACCACAGACACTTCTGGGGTCGTCATGCTGAGAGCCCCCGAGTGGGTGAGGCAAAAATTAGCATTGTAACCCTGCATTTAAAAAAAAAAAAAAAAGTGCCTGTACCAAAACTGGTTTCGCCATTCTTCCGTTTGGTCTTCTCCGGGGTGCTGCACAAAGCTGTCTCTTGGCCAACCCCCTCCCTGCACCGCCCCAGCCCTCCCCGGTGCATCTCCCTTTTGCCAGCGACATCCTTCAAACCCGAAGCTTGCCGAAAGTAAAGGGAGAAAGAGAGAAATTAAAAAAAAAAAAAAAAAAAAAAAAGTGAATTGCGTTTCTGGATGAGAAATTTTTTAGCATTCGGAGGCCTGGAAAGGCAATCAATAATCCAGGAGCGTGGCTTGTCCTGCTCCAGGAATTTCCTTCCCTGACCGTGTGTTTCTATGGTTACTAAATATAAAAAAAAAAAAAAAAAAAAAATTAGCAGTGTTTCGTACAGCACGGTTAACGCAGCGACGGTGGAAAACTGGAGGAGTAAGGAGAGCGCAGCGGGGCTTTCACACCACGTTGGAGGCAGCTCGGTGTGATTTTTGTGTGCCTGAAAGCTTTTCTGCTGCCCGTGTCGAGGATGATGCGGCCCCTGTCAGAGCAGGGACCGTGGCCGGCCCCGGCCAGGGTGTTTTAAATTGCTCTCAGCGGCTGTTTTTATTTGGCATTTTAAGCACGGAGGGAAGATGCTCGGCAATACACTCCGGTCAGCTGAGAGCTGGCGATGGGTGCAGCCGACAGGCACAAGCCAGTCGTGATTTTCGGGGGGACACGCACAGAGCAAGAGGTGCTGAACCCCGCTGCGGGGTGCGCGGGGGTCGCTTCTTGTCCTCGTGCCGCCGCCGACACGGAGCCGTGCCCGCCTTGTACCGCTTCCCTCGGCAGTGTGGCACTTTTCCCAACAGACCTGACCTGCCCGTGCTGTGCCGCTGTCGAGGTGGGGAGCACGTTGCTGTTAGCCAGCCGTGGAGGAACGTCAACCCCGGGGGCTGGAAGCTATGCTAAATAACGGAAGAATTTTGCTGCCTCTAAAAGTAATCAAGCAATTACTTTTATTGAGTTAGGCTAAAGCTGTTATTGGTACAACGAGCCAAGTTTTACGAAAAGAATTGGCTGCTGGGAAGAGAAAAGGGGGGAGTTGAGCTGAACTAAAGCTAGGAAAAACAAAAAAAAACCAACCCCCCCCCCCCTCAATAAACCCCCCAACCCAACCCGCACGTGTGGCTTCAGCAGATGCTGCATTTTGGGGAATTTTGCAGGGCAGGATCAAGGCGGGGGGGGGGGTTGGTCTTCGGAGCTGTGCTGCAGCCACGACGAGCGGCTGAGATGCGGTTTTGTGGCTCGGGGGGGGGGGTGGGGGTGTCTATGTCGTGCAGGGGGGCAGATGGCACGGATTCGGGGTGCCGTGGGGGCAGGGTTAAGTTAGCAGCAGCTCTGGCGGGGGCATCTCCCCTCGCCCTCCCCACTCGACTCGAAGCACGGGGGGGGGGGGGGGGGGGGGCCTGGTGCTCAAGGGGACTGTCCCTGCGGAAGCATCGCACGGTGGCTCGTCGTTAATGATTGTGCTCTGCGGTGCTAATGGCCCATCCGAGCCAGAAAAGATAATGGCAATAAACATACATCCCCAATCCCAACGGTAGCTGCTGAAAAATTGATCGTTCCGTCTTGCCAAGGGATAGAAACGCAACTGAGCCTTGATTGAAAAATTCAGGGGAAGCTGCCTTATCTTCCTCCTCTGCCAGATTAAAAAAGCCTCATCCATAAAAATAGACAAAATGAATAAAGAATTTATAAACATCTATATTTTGTGTTAGGAAATGTGGTAAAATTAGGAAAACAGCTGAAGACACTGATTTATACAACTCTGACTATTTCAGGCAATGAGAGGTTTACATATCATAGTTTAACAAGAGAAAAGGTCTCCCACAGAATACATCGATGACAGACGACCCATCTGAATTTGACATAACACAGCATCAAGTACACATGTAATGTGATGAACAGTGCCAGGCCATTCCCCAGTTAGGTAACATACAACCTCTTGAATAAGGCAATTCAAATATAACTCGTAATTCAAATCACAACATACCCAGGCAGCATGCAGGGAAAAGTCGTTTATTTTGTACATTGGGATGACACAACTTGCAACGTGTTTCCATTTTATGTAGTTAGAGCAACAGGATATAAACCATTCAAATTTTTTATATATATATATATATATATATACACACACACACACATACATATATATATATATAAAGTCAACAGTTGTCTTTCCTGGAATAAAGATTATCTGATTTTGGCAAAAATAAAACTATTTGAATTCACTAATTAACAAAATGCACAGTGATCAGAAACCCAATTCTCCTCGCAACTGTCTTCCCCGGCTTGTTGGCGTTTCCCTGCGGTGCAGCGGCTGCGTAACTCTGGGTTCAGAGAGCTGATTGCTCAGAGGAACAAAAATTCACCGCCCGGTCGCCCCAGACCTGGACGGCGGTGCTCCCGTCGCACCCCGCGCCTTGGAAACCGCATTTTGTGTCTCCGTTTCTGGGCGCCTGACCAGCAAAGCACTCAGACGCCTGCCTGCCCTTTGGCGAGTCAAAAGTTGAATTGCGTGCGGAAACCTGTTCGCTGGAACAGGCCCCCTCATTTATCTTTAGTCCCGCTTTATTCCTCTGGCCCTTCATGACAGGGAAATGTGAGAAACTGTGCATCTGCTCAGAAGCAAAAAAAAAAAAAAAAACCAAACCCAAAAACCAAAAAACCAACAACCAACCCCAAAAAACCAAAAAAACCAAAAAAAGCAAGCAAAGAAAAAAAAACCCCAACAAACAAAAAAACCCCCAAACCTGAGCCAAAAATATCGCTGATACGGTGGGACACGACACACGTGGCTGGGGATGCATTTCTACTGCAGCAGACTTGGGAATCGCACAGGACAATGAAAGCTTTTCCCAGCGTTGAAAAGCTCCTTCGAGAGGAAGAAGTGAGGAAGGGAAATAAGATTTTTACCTATGGAAAATAAAATTTCTGAACGGCCTAATGTGGGCAGCTTCCCTCCGGTAAAGGGCCGTACGTACCCCTGCTTAACCCGGCTCCTCTTGCCGGGGTACCGGGTCCTGCGACGGCCGGATCCCCGTCCCCGTCCCCGGGCGGGCGAGGGGACAGACCCTGGCGGCGGCGGGTTCGGGTGCCGGGGGGGCTGTGGAGGGGGCCAGACCTCCTCAGGCTGAAGCGCTCCGCGAAGCCCTCGCCGAGGGTCACCTCGTCTGCCTGGTAAGGGCTACCGAAGGTGTCGTGCTCATAAATAACGAAGAGGCAGAAGTTGCCCACGAGCGGGTCCAGGTGCCCTGAGATTTTCTGCCCTTTCAGGCAAGGCACACAGCGGCGGCAGCAGCTGGGCCTTCCTGCTGGAGATCCGTCCTGGGCTTCAAAACCCACGTGCCCGTGAGAGGAAGTACAGAAAAAAAAAAAAACAGATTTCCGGAGGGATTGTTGCTGGATCCTGTTTTATCACCTTTATAATAAAGTTGTCTCGCGCCTCCCTACTATTCTATTTACTGCTCTGGTAAAAAAAAAAAAAAAAAAAAAAAAAATCATCAGCGTATTTCTTTGCCCTTACGAGATACAAAAAAGCAAATCTTCAAAAGATAGCGGGGAGAAAGGTGCTTTCACAATGACATTCAGAGCAAAAAGAGAGAAATGACATTTTACAGATCGTTAGAGAGCTATCTTTGGCAGAATATTTCAAATAAATTATTTGTACAAATATTTTCTGCAGTCGCGTATTTATTTTGACTAGTTCACTTTCAGCTATAGGGTTACTGGTTCACTACTCTCTATTAATAGGAAAACGCCACAAATATAAAAATATATGAGCTCAGCACGATTTTTAGGCTACCACGACCGTCTCCGATGATTTCAGGGGCCGTAGCTCGATACCACGGAAAACACGAAAGGGGTTTTCTAACAGCACGTGTCGGGTGAGAAGCTCCCGGCTCGCCGGGGAGGGCAGGGTGGGAAGGAGCCAGAGGAGCCGGGGGCTCAGAGACATCCTCTGCCACCGCCGGACATCCCGCCGCGGGGAATCGTCTCTCGTGCTGACCCCGAGGCCTGGAGGTGCCGCGTTGGGTGGCGGCGGGTGGGTTTCCACCGTGGGCAGGAGATGGGGAGAGAGGGGGGGGGGCTTGCTGCGCCGGGGGGGGGGGTGTCTGTCTGAACAACCAAGGCTGCACCGGGTCCTGCGCTTTAACCCCCGGGGAGGGAGACGGAGCGCGGCCGCTTTCGGCTGCCGAGTTGCCTCCTCCCGCCTCGAAGAAGCAAACCCCGGGGGGGGAGGGAGGGAGGGAGGGAGCCGCAGGGTTTGTCCTTGAGCTGTGGCCAGATCCTGCCCCCCCCGGGCTTTGGCCAGGGTCCCAGCGGGCCGGTGGCTCTGCCGGGGACCCTGAGCTGTGGTGGCCCGA